AAATTGAATGCAAATTTGGATAATTCAAAGTGATAACACCGACAACAGCACCCGACTCAACCGCCAACAACGATTGGCATGAAACCTAATCACCCGCTTGTGCCGGCGCTCACTAAAAGTTTATCTAACGAGATCCAGCTCCACTCTAAGCATGGGAAAAAGACAGCAAAAAATGTGAAATATCAAATTTTGATTTAAATTAACTGGCCAAATTAGATTTTTGAAGGCTTTTGCGGTAAGTAACAACGGACGCGCAAGACGTGGTAAAAAGTCCCAACATTCAAACACAGACGTTTGATAGTTGTGCGGAAGATTGATGCCTAGTTAGCATTTTATAACTTTGATTATAAGCTAGTAACTGTCAGGTATTCAGATAGTACATGGTTATGAGTGAGTTTACTTGGAGTGGGTTCATGTTTAATTCTTTGAAATTAATCATGCATTCAGGAAAATGTATAGATCAGCCCACTCATTGACAAAGAATTTCGTAGATGTTAAAATACTGGTATACCTTTTAGGTTGCCATCTATGATTGTGAGTTTGCCTCGGTGATGAAAAATACAGCTGCAGGTTACCCTGTAGTAGATTAAAAACGATCGCGCCTTAGTGATCCCTGTTTACTGACCTGACGGTGACAGTAACTCATTTCCTTTTCTTTGGATATTATTATCAGACGCCTGTCATCCGCTCACTTATTCATTCACTGAGACACACACTTGCCTGGCTTGATGCTAATAAACGGTCGCGTTCTCTGTCGCCTCTTATTCCACTATGCTTGGGTTGCTAATGGCTGTTAACTAGAAGGTTGTAAGGTAGTGCTAAAATAAATTTACTAAATTTGGTGACCCCAACGTAATGTAGCCACTTAATTTTTGACTCTATTGCGTGGTGATCTCCGTTGAATTTTTCTCAACTCTGTACTCTGTTAACAATGAGTGACCCTATTGCTTTTGACCTCTGTTCGAAAAACAGCATTTTAGTCAAATTCCTCCCGTGACGTCCTGACGTCCGTATTTGCTTTATGCAAACTGAGGCCCATTTTATCAACCAAGTGACTACTTCCCAGTTCTTGAATTATTTGCATGTTTTTGCATGGCTATTGAGAAATGATTCTAGTGTAGTGTACAACTTGCTAGGAAAACCCCTACGAATATTCTAATGATGCTGTTCTTACACGATTGATCAGCTTGAAAGAAGCCCCTCATCGACACGTACTTTCTGGTATCAAACTAGTTGGCAGGTCTCCTTCTCAACACCTTCGCCATATGCTGCTCTCTGTTGGGGATAACAAGGTAAATAAATCTATTCTTCACCTATTTACTGCTCTAACATCACACATTCTATGCGGTTTAGACGTAAGTTGCTAAAACTATTATTACTAAGATCCTACAATCCATAATGAATGCCTGTTTTATACGCTTCAGATAGGTAAAGAAAGAAACATGAGCCCAAGTTAACCTGAAGTATCTTCTTTTCTTTAAAGACCTTGCATATTATAAAATCTAATTGACCCAAATCATAATCTTTATATCCCACATAGTAATCAGAGAACTGACCAACATGGCGTATATGCATTTTTCGAGCTAATAATTAAAAATCAAACCTAAACAGATTGGATTGTCCACGCATTTTTACAATTGCGATGTCTGTTTTTTTAACCTGGCATTAAGTTATGAAACGTGCATAGAACAAACAATAATATGAAGTGATTAATTGGATCCTAAATGGCAATCTTGATTTTAGGTAACACTAGTCAAAAGTTATTGCATTAGGTGGGAAAAGAGAATATATCCATTTCTGTTCACAATGAGTATACCAGGTAAAAATAATAATTTAAACCACAATTTTTGGTAGGCCAATTTGCGGAGATCAGCCACAATATCGCAGAAAACTTAAGAGACAAAAAACTTACTTTCCCTGCAAGGAAAATATCCTTGCCATTGATCTATGCTTCCATGGTCACTGCGCTGCTGAACTTAATGAGACTTGTCTAGGGCATAAAATTCAATCATCTATAATAATTCTAGTCAATTAAAATTAGTGGGCAAGTACACTACTATTCTAGACAAGTAATGGAACAAATAAATTACACTTAGTTGTATTTAAATTGCCACTGTATGTCGTTGTTATGTTAATAAAACGTTTGTGTATTGATATATTTCGAAACAACAAAAAACGACTCAGAATGTTTTCTTCCAACAATTTAAGCGAGTTAACTGGAAACCATAAAATTATGTTTGCTTAAAAAACTGGCGACAACGAAACTATTCAAATAGGTGATAATTCAGGTGCCTCGATCTACGTAGCCAGACATATTGTACACTAGAATTCTGACAGTGATGTAACAGACACACATAAATGAAAAATAACAAATATACAGTTACGTATATCACTGATGTGTTAAATTGAGATTTGGACTTCATTAATGTAATAATTTGAATTAACGCAAATTTTGTGGCCATATATGTACTCGGTAATTTGTTGGGTGAGATAATGTTGTGCAAAATGAACAACGATAACTGACCAAGCAAAAGGCTTCTTGTAATTTTGGAGACCGGACTGAACCAGCAACTGAGTGTGACGCTTACGATTTGACCTTGATCCCCACTTAGTTGTTGTTTAATTACTCAAGTACGATAACCTACGATAGAACGGCGAATGAAAGATAATCAAGGAGAAGGAGATTATCTGGATAAAGAATTTGATGAAAGTAGCTTTTTGTCAGAAGAAGGCCCTACATCAGACGATTTGGATGGATCGGAATCATCAATTCATTTTTACCAATTGGTTAGATTAGAATTTAACAAAATGATTTTAAAATTTAGCTTCGCTTTGCAGATAATCTTGATAAGTTATTGTTTGCTTTGGGAGTACTTGGGAGCATTGTGACAGGTTTGGCGCAACCGATTTCCCTCTTTCTTATGTCCAAACTGGTCACGTCTTTTACCGACAATTCGGGAGATTCCCTGACTAGCCGAATGCTTACATTCATGCCATATTACATTGCACTTGGGACAGTAACCTTCGTGATATCATTTCTGCAAATGTTTGCTTTTACTGTATCAGCGAAGAGGCAAAGCAGGAGGATCCAGTTGTTGTTGTTTAAGGTCAGAATTTTAATATTAAAAAAATTTAAATTACTGAGCATCTTGGTGAGATTAAGCTTTGGGAAAAAAATGAACGATGGTGATTGCTTTTACAATAAGCTAGATCATATCCTATCAGCAACCCCTTAATTACTAAGTTGCTTGATTGTTCTGGCTACTTAATTTTTTTAATGTCCACAGCATGTAAATACCTCGTCTAATCCTTACTAAAGCTCACTTAAAAATATGCGTCAAATACACACGCAAGATGTCATAATTTGTCTTCATTTGTTTGGAGTCTCTAAAACGTTCATCAAACTGAATTTGAAATGTGTTAGTATTTAAAACGTTCAATCAGAATTCAGAATGGTACGTGGAGAGAGACAAATATGCTTACTTAATCGATTTGAGCACTTTCAGCGACAGGTCACGATGCTTTGTCCCAGCCCAGGGAAGGAGGACCAGCTACTAAGCAGCCTCTCAATTTTTGTCGTTAATGAGCCATTTTATAAACCGAGCAAAGCGTAATGCTTAGTTGTAGTTTTAGGTCAAATAACTATTGCCTGCATCAAACAGGTAGAGTTCTATTTCTCGTGCATGATTGTTCTTTCATGGTCATATGTTAACGCATTAGCAAGGAATACTTACCAATGGGTTTTTTATTAACACTCTTTACTTACGCTCTAAGGTAAAGCTTGTTGCTCTCTTTTTAAACAAGACATCGATAATTCTAAGAATACATTCGCATGTACCCTTGCAGAGCATAGTACGACAGGACGTCGCATGGTTTGACACTCAGTCCTCCGGCAAATTAATCACGAAACTAACTTACAGTGTCGATCAAATCGAAGGTGGAATCGGCGATCGTTTAGGCACCTTTATTCAGAGTGTCACCACGTCAATTGCTACGGCTGTGGTCTCACTGATTGTTGGATGGAAATTGGCCCTGGTCTCCTTTACACTGTCCCCAGTAATTCTTGGGGCCTTTGTGACCCTTGGCTTTGCGCTTCGTAAATTTTCGGCTAAAGAAATAGCGGCCTACGAGAAAGCTGGTTTGATTGCTGCAGAAATTCTCGCTGCTGTTCGAACCGTTTTTGCCTTTGGTTGCCAAGAAAAGGAATCTCTTCGGTACGAAAATGAGTTGGGTGCATCGGCACGCGTTTTTATGTTGAAAAGCTTGCTCATGGGCATCGGTAAGTTGCGTTGAATTTTACGTAAATTTATGTTGTTATTTAGTTACAATTTCAAACATTGCGATAGCATTTCATAGCATGGGACTGCAGAATTGCCTTTGCATTTAATAAGGCTATTTTGGACCACAAAATGCTCGACAAACAAAATCAATTTAGGGTCAGAAGTTATGACGTTTGTGTGGGTGCAGTAACTTCCTATTAACTGATTTTAAACGAGTTTAACCTTTGCATCTTCTGAGATGCTACTTAACGTGGAGATGTTTTTGCTTTACTTTTCAAGTAATTATTGGTTTGTTTGCAAAATTATCTGTTTGATGGACCTAGGTATGGGAATGGTTGGATGCACAATCTACTGTGCAGCTGCACTGATTCTTTGGTATGGTGTTGAGTTGATAATAACGGAGAACTATGACAATGGCAACGTTGTATCCGTACGTTTACAGACAGCCTTTATTTGAAGAATTTGCGTGGTTTAATACTTAAAACACGAGTTTTTGTGGTAATTTATCAGCGCTTTTCTGCAAAGCACGTTTCGCAAATTGATTTGATTGTTGCAACTATCGAACTCGTTGCTTAATGAAAGCTTTTTTACGTTTATGTTTGCAAATATTTGTTTTGATTGTTCATTTGCCGACCGTTTTCTTGCAATACCCCTCCTGAATGACATGTACACACATTGAGGATTATAGGTATACAAGTATTAACAGCTTAGATAAGTCAAACGTTTGAGATTAGAATACTTTGATTGTATTGCAAAACTTATCTCCGATTTCAATTTATAATTATTTAATACATATTTTGTTGCCACCACACTGCACATATATTGTCTTCATGTTCTGACTACAACTGAAATTGATTAGGGTTGAACAAGTGTTCTGCCTCTAAACATACGTCAACCCAGTTGCTGCAGCGCGTCACAATTTTATGATGCTTCTTATTAAATTGTTAGGTCATGATATCCTTCATAGTTGGAAACACTTCGCTCGGGAGAAGCCTGCCGGAAGTTGAATTCTTTGCAAATTCGAAGAGAGCAGCAGCATCAATATTCCAGATAATTGACAGAGTATGTAAACACTTTTGATAAGTGGCTCTGCCTAATCACTTGGGTCACCTTTTCAAATACGTTCTCTTTTACTTCGATTGTGCAAACAGATTCCATCCATTGATGTGATGGGTCAAGGAGAAACACTGAAAGAATTTTCAGGAAAAATTGAATTCAGAAATGTTACCTTCAACTACCCAACCAGACCAGATGTTCAGGTTGGTATTTTGTCATAC